TTTCAAGTATTTTTATTAGGAGTTTATGAAATAAAGATAGTCTTTTGTAGTTTTGATTGAATAAATATATATTTCTCATTTATTAAATTGCTTTGATAATCATTGCTTTTGTAAAGAATTTAAATATGTAATTCCCAATTATAATTAAATGATAACTCGTATATATATATATATATATATTTTAAAAAAAAAAAAAAACATATAGGATGAATAATGGACATAAGAAATATACTTAAGCGATTAATACAAATAGTAGTTTATTAATAATGTTCTTTTGAATTTCTTCGAATAATATATATAAGAGAATAAAGTAAAATTATATATTATTAAAAAATGTAAATTTATAAAAAAAGAAATAGAATGAATAAAAAAGAATATTATTTTACTATATAGCGTTTTTAATAGAAACAAATAAATCTCCTACATATAGTTTTTAATAATTTCTACATTATTTAAGAAAAGCTAATAAATTTTAATGGTTAGACTAGATAATGATATATGAATTTGAACATAGAATTCAATAATAATATTATGGCTTTTTTATGAGTGCATCTATATAGAATTAAAGACTTGAATTTTTTTAGGTAATTTGTTTTGATGAAAAGATGGAGGAGGCTTTAGTTTAATTAAAAAGGATTATTATATTAAATAAGCAATTGCTTTATTTTTTAAACTAAAGCTATTTTGATTTAGAAGAATTAGAAAGAAAAGGGAAATTATTTTAGTAAGAAAGACATAAACTAGAGTAATAAATATAGGAATTATATCATATTAACCCTAATTCTAAGAATTTACATAGTCTATGTGAAAGTTATACATAAAACTTTGATTTTTTAATAAGAAAACCTAGATATTTTAAATCAAGAAGTAAGGACATTACTAAATTAAAATTAAAAAAAGAGGATTTTTCAATAGATATATTTGGAAATAATTGCTCGACTATTTATGTCACTATGTTAAATCCTGTGGGTAAGATTTTAAGAGTATCTGATAATTTTTGCAGTCTTTATGGATATTAAAAAAAAGATGTTATTTAATAAAATATCAGTTAGTTTATTCCGAGATAAATTTCGAAATATCATGATGAGATTTTAGATAAGTTTATTAAAAAAGTAAAAGAATTTATATATATATATTTATTTTTATATATTTTTTTTTAAAAAAGGGAGATTTAAGATATATTAGATCATAGTATGTGTAACTTTTCTTAAAGAACTAATAAGGAGTATAATATATGATTTTATTTAATTTTTTATTAAAAAAATTAAAGTATATCAATCCAATATTAGTTAGATTTAAACTAGATGTTTCAATCTATTAAGATTTTGGGGTTTGTGCTTTAGTTTAGAAATAAATACAAACGTCTGAATATATATTTTTCGATAGTATTGGCCGAATAACAGATGTTTCAGAAAAAATATATAATTATCTTTTTGTAAATCTAACTTAACATCCATTAAGTAAAAGCTAAATAAATACATCCCATATATATATATATATATATATATATATATATATATATATATATATATATATATATATATGTATGCAGATAAAATACACCATATCGATATATCTAAAATGATTCCTAAAGTTAAATTCAGTTTATATGATAATTAATATCGTTTTCAAGGAAAAGCGTTTATATTATTGCCTTATTTTCATGTTTAATAAAGCTTAAAATTCATAAAAACATCTTCGAAAAATGAACAATTTAAAAACTTAAATAGATTTTTGGAATTAATAGATGTAAAAAAATATAATATTATTGAAATAGATTGTGAAATAAAATATTTAAATATGACAAACAAAAACAAAGTCTCAAAATACATTGAAATTTTTAAATTTGTAAGAGTAAAAAATCCCTAATAAAAATATATAATACATTAAGATATTTTAAATGAACTTTTCGAAACTAATAAATTAGAAAATGCCTAAACTATGAATTCCTAAAGTAAATATTCGGCATTTAAAGGCGGAGATAATACATCGTATATGTAAAATTCGGAATATAATAATACTTTTTCTAAAGAAATTTCTCCCGTTAAAACTTCTTAGAAGTTTATGTTTTTGCATTAAAGTATAACGCCTGATTTAAGTTAGGATCTTTCCAAATAATAAGAATAATTAATATAATTTAAAAAAATAGAAGACTTAATTAATTAACCTATTATAGAGTAGAAAGAGGAAGAAGATGAATAATAAGAACAAAATACTTTATAAAATAATTAAGAATAAAATTAATAAAAAAATGATAATATTTAAAACTCAGTCAATTGGATTGAATAGAGTGAATCTTTTTCCGAAAAAAATAAAAAAAATTATTAAGCGTCATCTAATAAATCGAATGTAAGTGTAAATTTTAAAAAAAGGGTTGAAATTTACAATTAAATACATACAAAAAGCTTAAATAAAAAACTCTAAATTTTATACCAATTAGGATTTGTTTCCCTTATAGTATAAATAGCAGTTGTAACCTATTTTTTTATAGACACTAATTAATTAATTCACGAAGTAATATAAATATACATATATATATATACATATATATATATATATATATATATATATATATATATATATATATAAATATATATATATTTATTTAGTGTTTATAAATATTTCAAAATATTCCTTGGGCTATGAGTTGCTAAAGTTTATATTCATATATTTTTTCGAATAAATAATTATATAAAATTATTTAAAATTAGATTTTTTTTATTGAAAATGAATTATTAACCTAAAATTTATAAGAATAAAGAAATACAGAAATCCATAATTCTTTAAATAGTTTTTATTATTAATTGAATAGATATTATAGAAACTACCCAACTTAATCATTTTCAGTGTTTATTGTATAATCGAATATTAAATTAAGGTTTTATTATCCATAAAGTGAATTTAAAGATTAAGAAATTACTCTAGGATTAGGATATAGATATCTTTAGAGTAATATGTTTAGGTTTATTAATGATCTTTAAGGCGGAAATACATTTTCTTTTAGCTTTTTGTTATTCAATTAGAATAGTTTTTATGAGAAATTTAAGGAAAATTAAGAAATTAGTAATTAGAAAGCTTATAATGGGTTTAAGAATATTATAGATTTATAACTTATGACTTTATTTATTATTTTGATTGTGCAGTCTTTTTTTATTTTTTCTGTTTTTCCTATATATTATTTCATTTAGGATTAAAGGGAAAATATACTGAAATTATTTTCGACTTTTAATTGCGAAAAACTGGAACATTTAATAAGGTAAATTGATAATATTTAAACATAAAACACTTTATTGAAAAACTCTTCATTTTAAAATGCTAAAATTTAAAATAAAAATGAAAACTTAAACAAAAGTGCTTAAAATGCAAAAAGGAAAAAAAATATTTCATAAACTTCTCATATAAATAGGTTTAATTATTGCCTTTTTTTATGTGTTTTGGGCACATTTTTCATACTTTCCATTTATCCAGTTGTTAATTTGATCATATTTTAAACGTTCATAAGTTAAGGGTAAAATAGTATTCAGGAATTGATAACTATTTATAACTTAAAGGCTTTTATTTGTAGAATTTTCGATACTAATTATAATTCCATATTAAATCTAATAGAAAATAAAAAATTAGATCCTATATTAAAAAATAATCTAAAAAATATAAAAGATTAGAAATAATCAATAATATAATCAATAGTATAATTAGAAAATGGAATAAATGAAACTAGATATAATTATAATATGCTAAAAGACTATTTCTTAGGAATAATTTCTAATAATGTATGTGATATTATAAATTCTAATTCCTAATTTGATAATATAGATAGTACATTATAATATTTTACTTTTGATATTTAAAAATGTAAAAGCTTGTAAAATGGAATTTTGTAAAAAGGTATTTTGATTAGTTCTTAATTAATATTTGATAAATTTGATGATATGAGTAATCTTTATTAAGAATAGTAAGCAGATGTATTTGCTAATAACATATTATAATGGTCTAAAAATATAAATATATATGATTTAAATACGTTATATTTATACGTTATTCGAGTAATTGAGAATCTTAATACTTTCATATAGTAAAATATCACTAATTATTTTAACTATATAGAAAAAGTTTCTTTAATTCTATATATTTATAGCTTAATAAGTCTTATTTTAGTATTTTGTATTGGATGGTTAAAGTATTTTACAATTATTAAAAATTAATTAAATTAAACAAGAACAATACTTAATACTATAAATATTAATGCAGTAATGGAAAATACATACATTATGAGTTATTTAAATAAAGAAATCTAATACAATAAATCTTGAAAAAAATTATAAAAAAAAAATATGTTTTAAAATATTTTTTAAATATATATTAATAAAAATAAATATATATAAATATATAAAGATTTAAAATAACATATATATATATATTATAAATATATATATATATATATAAATTTAAATAAGGTTTTTTATTTTCAATATTTTTTAAATTCAGTAAGTCCTTTTAAACTTTATATTCTATTATGTCCTGTTTAAATTTTATTATTAAATAGTTATTATTAAATATTATTTCTTATATTACTTTATACATTATTATTTTTTAAAATTTATTATTATTATTATTTCATAGGACTTTATATACTATATATACCTTATGATTAATTTTATTAATTAAAATTTGGGCTTAGCATGCTTGCTTTAGGTGTTTGTATTTACTCGTTTTCTAATATTCTTAGCATAACTTAATTAAGTTATAATTTTTATTGACATTTTTAATTATTATTTCTTGGGGTTTCTTAATAATTATTATTGTTTAAAGAATAATTTTATATATAAATATTTGTTTTTATATCTTCTGTTCCATATTGCTATTAATAAAGTTAATATAAATCATTATATATTTATTATATTTATATTTCATTGTTATTTTATCCTAAAATTTCTTTAAGTTTATCTAATGTACTTTTAATTATTTAATTTATATTTTCTGTTTATCTTTAAAATGTTTACAAATATTTTTATATTTCAGATTCGTGCTATTCTTTAATTAATTTTTAGTTTTTTTCCGCTTATTCAATTTCTTCTTTTATTTTTTTCAACATATATTATTCTAATTCCTTAGATTATTCTTATTATAAAACACAATTTATTTTTTCTGATTTTAAGGCCTAAAAAAATTAAAAAAATAAATATATATATATATATATATAAATATATATATATTATATATATATATTTATATTTATATATATATATTTATAAATATTTATAATTCCTTTTATTATTTATTTTACATCTGAATAATATTGAGATTTTTCTATTTCCATATTAAGTTCATTTTATAAAGAAGTAACTTTATTTTCAAGCCTTTCTTTTTCTTTAAGAATTAAATCGATTAATTATTAATTAATTCCACTGAAAAAATTATCTTTTATTTCATCATATACTCTCTTAATTAATAAATTTCTTTCTTTTAGTTCTAACATAGCCTATTCATATGTTAAAGGAATAACATTTAGTTAAATAATTTCTTCCACTATATAAAATATATATAAGTATATATAATATATATAATATATATATATATATTTATATATTTATATATTTTTATATTTTTTATATTTATACTTTATTTTAGTTCTTTTAATATAATTGTTTTTTCTTAACAATTTTCATTTATACTCTATTAAGTTAATTCTATTCCTTAAAAACTTTTTATAAATGATTATCTATCATTTTATTCATTTAATATTTTATTATTTTAATTTTCCTTTAATATTTTTTTTTTTTCGATTTGTTTATTTGCATCTTTTTATATATGCTCTTCCAATTCTATTTATTCTATTTTACTTCTTAAAAGTTTATAGTTTGTGCTTGATTCATTTATTACTTTTTCTAGATTTTCTATATATTTTTTTTATACTTTATTTAATTCTATTAATGATGTTCCTTTTCCATATTCTATTATTTATTACCATTCCAATGTTGATATAGTTCTTGACAAAGTTTAATTTATAATATATGAACTATTTATAAAAAATAAATAAATAAATATTTTTTTTTTTTGTTATTTCAATACTTAAATAATTCTTTTTTTAATTATATTATTATTAAATCTCTTGAAATAGGGTTTTTTCTGTGAAACTATTCTAGTTTTTAAGGAAAACTGGATATTTTTTCTATTATTTATTTAGAATTCGTAGTATTATTCATACTTTGTTTTCCTTATTTAAGTATATTTTCTGCAATTTAGAATGTATTTCTCCTTTAAGATATAAATCCTTCTTCTTCTTTTTCTTGACTTTATTATGTATTTGTATTATTATAATTTAATTAAAATATATTAGCTTCATCAACACCTAATTATTGCATTTTTTTTTATTATTCAGACCACTCTTAAATATAATTCTATATTTAAAATATATATTATTAAATATTTTGTTTGTTAGTTTATTTTTTTACATCAATGGATTAACTTGATGTATTTTTAAAATATTCAGAATAACGAATTTCTTGAAAATCAAATTTTTATTTAAGATATTCTTCTACATTATTTTTAACTATTTTTTTTTTTTTTTTTTTTTTTTGTTAATAATAAAACAAAAAATGATATACATATATATACCAGCCGATGCTTTTTCCTATATTAATATATTAATTTATTTTTCATATTTACAAATAGATTAAACTAGTGAAGAAACTTGTTTTTATAAAACTTCAGTTTGGAACAAATTATATTCATTTTTAGATTTTTATTAATTAAGTTAATATTCTTATTATTAATTTTGAATTTTATAATCCGCTTATTATTTTTCATTTTCCAAAATTTATTTTTTTAACTAGAAAATTTCTTTTTCTAAATTCTTAAAATTCTTATTATTTTTCCTTTATTAAAAAATTTCTTCCATATTATTATTTTTCCCTTAAAAATAATCCTTTTTTCCACTATAAATACTCTTCATTTAATTATTAGTTCCCTATTCTCCTATACTCACATCTATTTCTGATTCATCTAGATTCCCATTATTTTCATTTAAACTATTATTTTATACTTCATTTTAACTATTTTCAGTCTCATTAAAAATCTCTTCTAAATTTTTTAGAAAACTTAAACTACATTAACCCCCTATATTTCCATTATTTTTAAGCTCTTCTTTCATTCTCTAGGCTATTTTTTTCCATTTATTACTTTGTTCCTGACTTTTTAATAATTCCGCTTTTAATTATTCAATTAATAACCTCATTTATTCATTTGATAAAATAATGTTCATTTTAACGTTATTTTTTATAGTTTTAGCCCTAGTTGCGAATTTCAGAGTACTTATTTATTCCTCATGTTAACTAGAATGGGGAGAAATAGCCGCTATTAGTGAAGTTTTGAAATTTCCTCCTAATGATTCTTATAGAATTCTAGTTAATTTAGAATCTCTATATGGAATGTGATCATTTCCATTAGTAAGTGAATGAATAACATTTCCTTTTTAATATTTTTACCAAAAAAATAAAAAAAAAAATATATATATATATATATATATATACCTAAACATGATAAACTAAGGTTTATTTTTTTAGCTTCTTCCAACATCTCACCAGAAGCTTATGTTTTGGCAATTTTTTCACATCCGGCTAGATCTACAAGATTTAACTTGCCCTATTTTTACTATCCATTTGCCATTTTTTGTGATACATTTATAGTAAATATAGTATGTGACCTTGAAGAGTACTCATTCATGCGTGTTTCTCGAGTTTATTTGCTTGAATATCCTAGATTGATGGCATCTAATATGTCTTATTCACTTTCAACTTATATGTTAGTTAATCCTTGAACATATATGCCTCCTTCTTTAGTATTTTCTTTGATTTTTAAGCCAACTCGATTTACATTTAAAAGATCAAATAATTATTCTTTATAAATTTCTAACATACTACAAGAAATCTAAAATTCTTAGTCTTGACAAGAGTTTATAAAAGAAAATATCTAATCACTGACTCTAGGTATTATTCCTTTCAATTATTAATCATTAACCTAGCCAAACATTGTATGTGTTTTACCAGAACCTGTTGCTCCATATGCAAATATAGTACCATTATAGCCTTAAAGAACATCATTTACCATTTCTTTACCTACATCTTCATATATTTATTCCTTATAATAACCGAATAAATATATATATATATATATATATATATATATATATATATATATATATATATATATATATATGTGTGTGTGTGTGTATTTATATTTACCTATAATGAATTAGGAGGATATATTTTATCTAGTTTATATATGGCCTTTTCTGGTAAAACTTAGATTGATTAAGAATCTAGAAATTTAAGGTTTTCACTTCCACATCCATTTGAATTAAACTCGATTTCCATTTTATTTAAAGGACGAACTCTAATGAATGTTTTTATATTGCTGGATTTTTATTGTGGTTATAAAATAATTTTGGAATTATTTTCGAGTGTATTATTTGTATCATTATTGTTTTGATTTAAGACTATAGAGCTTTGTATTTAATCTACAATATTTGATTTTGATACTTATTACATTTAATTTTTTGAGGGTGATGTTATATATTATTATTATTATTATATTTGTTATGTATTTTATTATTGTTATTGTTATTATTATTATATATTCATTTATTGCTATATATTATATTATTGATATTAATTTTATTATTGTTATTATTATTATATATATTCTTATTATTATTATTATTTTTCTAATTATTATTGATCAAATTACAAGTTCTATAATTATTAGATTTTTTTTTTAATTTGATTAAATATATTTTTATTTGTTACTTTTGAAAATCCATCATTTTTTGTTTATGTTTGATACATTTATGATTATTTTTAAGGTGAGACTATTGATGCATTTATATATGTTTGGGATTATTATTATGATTATTCTTTTTCTTTTATTTTTTTTATTTTTATATTTTTTAATTTTTGTTTTTACAAGTTAAACTGCTTTTTTAATCCTTTATTTATAATTATTGATATTTTGTAATTACTAGACTTTTTAATTTTTTCATTTTTTTTTTTTTTTTTTTTATATTTTAATTTTAATTTTATAAGAATAAATATATTTTTATTATAAAATTATTATTAAGTTTTATTATTAAAAAATAAGAAATTTAATATTTTTATTGCAGAATGATTTAATCTTAATATAAAAAAATATTGAGTTTTAATAGAATTATTAAAATAAATATTGTGCAATAATATTTTATAAAAATTCTTTTAATTTAATATAAAAAGAATTAAATAAATAAAAATCTAAAATAAAATATATATAAACATAAATATTAATAAAAAATTGTTATAAGTATTAAAAATATATATAATTATGTATATAAAAAAATATAAAAAATAATTTAATAAATAATAAAATAAATTTATATATATATATATATATATATATATATATATATATAAATATATATATTTATTTTTATATTAATTTTATTTATATATAAAATGAACATTAATTTATATATTTTTAATTTTATTAATAAGTAAATAGAAACAATATATATTTATATTATTAATATACTATAAAAATGTTTAACAATACAAACTAAATTATTCTTTTGGATAATAATTTAATTTTGATGGAAATCGCTTTAAGATAAATTTAAGTAATATAAGTGATGAAGATCAGGAATTATTATTATAATATTATTTAAAAAATTTTAATAAAAAACTTATAATAAAATTAGATAAAAATAATTATTAATGTAAATTTAATATATACATTCTAAAGAGATGAACTTCAATAATAAATAGATTTTTCTTATTTAATAGTTCAAAATCAATTAATTGATCTTTCTGAAATTTATAAATCTTTTTAAAATACTAATGATTCATTATTGGCTATTCAAATGGCTTTATTTTATATTTATTCTGGTTTTGCGAGATTTAATAAAGAATAAGCTTGCATATTTTACACTATATGTGCATTTTTACATATAAATTAGCCTATTAATTTGCTAAAAATGGAAATTTCTTGCCTATAAAATAATAGTTTAAGTTTAAAAAATCCATAATAAGTTTTAATATTAATAAAATGGCTTGAAAAAGTTAAAAATGATGACGATTAAGTGAATCAAACAATGGAATTTTTCGTCTTTCCTTTTTGTTTATATAACAGGAATTTTTATTATTGTCATAATAATTTTTAGATATTTACTATTATATATAGTATAGAATAGAAATTTTTCAATCAATTAATAAATTATATATTTATGGTAATTTTTCATGAAATTCCCTATAATAAAAAATTCTAGTATGAAAATTTTGAATTACTTTATGAAATTTATTAAAATTATAAAAAAAATAATTAAAATATAGTAGAAGAAAACTAATTTAATGCATTTTTTAAAGAAGTATTTTAAAATATTTAAAATTAATTAAATGAAGAAGATTAGTTAAAGTGTAAAAAATTAATACCTTATTTTAAAGATTAATTAATTGAAGAATTTATTTATATGAAAAGATAATTAAAATAATTATAATATGAAATATGTAAATAAAAAATGAAATTATAAAAATATAAGATATAAATTAATAATATATTTAATGAATTAATATATATATTAAAAAATAAAATAAATTAAACTAATATAATAAAAAATAAATAAATAAATATTATATTTATATATATATTTATATATATATATAAAAAAAAATATTTATTTCATATATATAA